AAGCTATTCTTCAAACTGTTTTTATCACGTCTCTTATATGAATATCATTTTCGATGATAATACACTCGTTTGTAATCAAAGTTGTTTTTCTGATATTTTTTTTCTTTGATTGATACACATTTTGTTATTTCTTGAATATCAGAATCTGTAAACTTGTACTTACAGATCTTCATTCATTTCTCTCATATTCTGAATAATCTGATTTTTGATACAACACTCCTTGATTGATTATGCTTAAAAGCTACATGTCTTGATCAATTTTTATCTGATCATTGTGTTTTATAACAATAATATTTTGATCAATTGTTTGTGATCAATTGAACATATGGAATGTATGTAACCGACAAACCTACCCATGAGGACAACCATATTTGAGTAAGCTTAAACTCAAAATGAGTTTGTATGCAGAGCTTAAAATGAAAAAGAGAGGGGTAGTTGTTGTGAGCCAAAAGAATTGATGAGAGTTGTGTCAGGATTAAAAGATTTCAAGAATCCTGTTCTAAACTTTAAAAAACCGGGCAAACCACGAAATCTTTTAGTTTTCAATTCTTTCGAGACTAATATTGAAAAAGGCAAAGCCCAAGCCAATTCTTGTCACAACCCCACCAGCTACTCATTTATCTCTTAACAGATAAGTATTTCAGTAACACTTGGGGAACGCAGCTCAATTTCTATCAGTTTCTCATTCGGAGAAAGTTGATATTGAAAAAGAAGGATATATGTCCCCCTTCAAGTCTTTTTGATCACGAATTGAGTCAGATAAATTTGTGTAGTCCACATGGTTTATCTTTTTGAGCCTAAACAGAAGCATTAGTTGCTTTATTTTTTTACACTACACAGATTTTGCAAATTATATGTTATTTTTCCGTAACATTCATAGATATACTTTTTATAAGATATCGATGATTGAATGGAAGTCCTGGTGAGATGAACCTTAAAAAGTCTCATATATGAAGTACATTCGTTGTACTGAGTATATTTGTTATATTCACAGCAATCTTTTTATAAAGATTGAAAACAATTTCATAAGTTGAAATTGGTTACTTTCCCATTTTCTTAATCTAAAAAGGTTATACAAGTGGATTTGAAAAGATCTGCTTACAATTTTATGAATTGACGGTTTTTACTGAAAGTTTCATTCATTCTGGTGTATGATGCAAATGCTTCTCATTTCATCATAAGGGGGAGTATGATATAATGAATGAAATAATCAATTATGAATGATATAAAGGGGAGTATGATATAAAGATCAAGGGGGAGTATGATATAAAGATTGGGAATCGGCAAAAGACTTAAAGGAGTGTGAATGCAATGACTGATGAAGATTGTTCTTGTGCTACAATGTTTGAGGGAAATAGCGTTTGAAGATCATCTTTAGAAAAGTTTACTGAAAGAGATTTCTCAATGACGAGAATGTTAATTTTGGGGAGAATGTTAGTGAATGTTTATCTGAAGAAATTATTTGAAGATCATATTCTGAAGATTATTTCTAAAAACCGTTATTGTTATTGTTCTTCATTGTAAAAAGAAAAGATCGTTTTTGTTCTACATTTGAGGGGGAGAATGTTGGAAGATTTTCTCAACAAAAGATCATCTGAAGATCATATAGCAGAGAATGTTAGAAGATTGTTTTTGAAGATATCAAGAAGTCATAAAGAACTTAAAGGGTCAAAGGTCAAAAAGGATTCAAAGTGTGCAAATTCTTTCTAGCCTGAATACAAAGGGGGAGAATGTTGGGATTGAATTTTAGAGTTAAATTGTATTCGTCTTGAAAGGTTTTATAAGGTATTTTAGTGTGTTTGACTTTGTATGTCATAGTTGACTTTGACTAGAGGTTTTATGTTTGACCTATAAATAGGTTTGTCTTCTTGTGAAAGTTTAAGAGCATAATTGTAATATACGTAAACATTGAGAGAAATATACTTGAGTTGACCAGTTGACTTTTCTTATCTACTTGTTCGTAATGTTCTTGATGCTCTAACATGAAGATTGCCATTGTTCATCATGATATATGAAGATTGATCATATTGTGGGACTCACAGAAGGTCTTGTACGAGTAATCTTTCCCTCCAAGCCTTGCACCAGGAATCTCATGCTCCTTGGTGCCAACAATATTTCTAACTCCATTGGAACCTCTTACAGCATTCTCAGCAACAGTTTCATGCCTCCGGTTACTGACATCTCGGTTCTGAAGCAACCTCATGGACACCTCATATTATTTATCTATGTCCGAGTTCACCATTTACATGACACTGGCCATCATCACAGACTTAGGATCTAATTCTTTAATGACTTGTGGATTGGTGGCCAACGCCACCCTTGGTACTTGGTCCACTTTATCTATTAACATTGGTAGAATTTGAGGATTGAACATCATCGCCTCCTCTCGGCTGCTCCGTAGCCATCGCACTAGCCTCTTGGCTATCATCCATGGTTGGCGGTCTAGTTCACGTAAAGCATTTAGACTTCCAAATAGAGGAACAAGAATATGAGATTAAGCCAAAACAAGATTAACAATATAAGCGTACTATTACATTCATCAATCATCGTAACAATAGCAAAGTTAAGCACGCTCACGTAACAACATACTCAAAATAGCATTAATTACATGGAATTTTGAATATTATACATAAGAATCCTCGTTGCCATCATTATAATTCGTAATTAGTGCATTTCCGTCGACCCTATAGCTCTCATATCTTAAGAGTTCTAACCATATCTCATAATTTTTTTCTTAAAGTCTCAGTTTAAGTCTAGGCATCTTAAATTCATACCTAATTCAGTTAAACAAAAGCTCTAATATCAACTTGTAACACCTCTAAGATAGGAGATAATCTAAATTGTCGAAATAAGTGAAATAAAAGTTGGATCAAATATAATCAACAAACAAAGGGGAAATAGTAAGAGAGTTTACATCAAGAATGGACTATAACTTACCATCTACTAATCTAAATCAAATCTAGATCTAAATTACAATCGAGTGTCAATATAATCCTCAAAAGAATGAGTGTATCATTAGCAACTCCACAATATCCTCCAAAAGAATAGTAACTCAAAAGTGCCTCTATCGGCACTCATTGCTCCACTCAAGCATTAGGAGCCCCATCGCTAAGAGATCCTATAAAGCATTAAACCAAAACATACCTATAAACAAATAATTTTGTGTATGTAAACAAGTTTACCCCCGGAAGGGCACAAAATATCTTACGATGATGTGGGAGACCCAATTTACCATTGACAAAAGACCTTAAGTAAGCCATAGTTCAATGTTATATAAGCATCAGTTATGGATAACCAATCATTAAGATCAATCTTTCTAGGTCTATAGTTTAATGAGTTAACAAGCTCAACTCTTCTAAATCTTTTGGTTGGGGAGTCACCAAGTTCAACCATACTAGGTCTTTACTTTGAGACATCAAAATCCAAGTTCAACTAATTCACATGGAAATTATAGTATGTTGGTCAATGGCTGATGCCCGACTCCAAGAGTCCACACCTTATTGTCTATGAAGATCCAACACTTATTTCTATGTTACAACTAGGGAATATCATCCATACATATAAAATAAAATCGATTTCCATGCCTATGGATCCACTGCATTATTGTCTAAATTATATGCTCATCCAGATATGTCAATACCCAAACACATAAACATTTGCATACAATTAGTTATCAAGTGAGTAAATCCCCATTTTATCAATAATGATCAAAATATGAACAATACAACTTTAGGTTCCAAACTCATAAGGTTTTGAAGTAATCATATCTCATGTATATAAAATCCTTTTCCACACTTATTTTTTATCAACACACATAGCATTCACAAAAATCCCATATTTGTCCTAGTTGGTCCAAAATCAACCAAAAGTGAAATATTTGAAATGGAAACTTAGAGAAAGTAAAATGCAACATTTTAACATGTAAATAGTTTTATAAGACTATAGGATAAACTTCCAATATTAAGTTTTGAAGAAAACCTAGAAACCAGGTAAAATGGTGAGAAAAGAGTGTATATCTTGAATCTCTAATTTGTAAACTTTAATCCTAGTATTAAATGCTCACAAATGGCCTTAAAAGCTCTAAACAAGCTTCTAGGGTTTCCTAGGTTCGACTTCAATGAAGAGAAAGAGAGAGAGAGAGAGAGAGATGAAGTGAGTAATGAGTTTAATCTAACAAAATCGGCCCTTTAGAAGCACAAATGGACTTTCATGACCCCTGACATGGCACAAGGGTTGCCCGTGTCCGAGGCTTCCTCTTACGATATGCAGATGCAGTCATGGCTCATGATACAAGGGTCGCATCCACAAGGATCACATGATCCCAAATCTCCAACTTACAGTGCACGAGATGCAACACTGACCTTGGGATGCAAGGGTCTCAGTCACAAGGAGTGGATAATCCATACTGAAGCCTGAAATGCTTTGTTTGCTGCTAAATCCAAGGTTTAACTCACGAAGATCCTTATTAACAATGATTGTCGTCTCAAGAGCGAAATTAAAAATGTGAACTTAATAAAACATGATCAACATCTAAGGTATCTATAATACAAAATATGGAGTGTTACATTTTGATTGTAATCTCAAGTATTCATATCTCTCAATCCAATTATATTTCTTCTCAAATATGAATCGATATACATATGGTTGGAATTACTGATGAGATTTTTTCTACCGTTTATATTCATTGATTGATAGTGATCTATTGTGCTTCCGCTACTGTAATCTTCTTTGAATCATATAATTGAGAAATCTGGGATCAACAAAAACTTCAATAAGCAATGGTCAGATAAAGTTAAAGTTATAAACACATCTTATTGTAACATGATACATGTTTTAGATGACTTTCGTTCAAAATTATTTTTGCATTTACCACTTGCTCTCCTTATGCTATTAGAATACCTAAAATTTATATATAGAAATAACCAAAAAATTATTTATAAAGAATTATGCATAAAAACACCTTAGCAACCATACCCAACCCACGGTACTAGCTAAAAGATTAAAATCAAGGTCACTTTTTACAATCTACCAACAAATGTATCAACAATCGTACACCCAAATCTACCGAAAGGGTGCTAAAACTTTCGATCTTCGCAACTCTCTACATACAAGATCTAACATCGCCAAGAAATCTCTCACGATCACAAAGATCCGAAGCGGATTTGCATCATCTTTACTCATATTTCCATGGAAATATTCCGTGATCTCTTTCACAAGCTCCAACACTTTGTATTCATCTTCCTCCAACTCTTTTAGATGTTTTTCGGCATAATTCAAGAAAGTTTTCATAGATTCAACAAAACTAGAACCTTTTTCTTTTATCAATAAATCTTCATTCACCAATCTTCGCAATCTACCCATGCCTTGTGATATATTTGAAACCGAGCTTGCAATAACCTCAAAGTCTATGGTGGCGGTTTTCTTCACATTACATAGTTCGGTACCCAAGCCTGAGACAAGTTCTAGGCCCATGTTTCTGTAGTCTTCTTCTCGATCTTCGGGGTTTCTTCGCTTGCTTTTTTGGTTGATCTTCCCTATGATGCTTTCGGACACCCTAATGCCTTCCGAACGAATGATTTCTTGAACTACAAAATGAAGCAAAGTGGTTTTTCCATCCGTTCCTTTCACATCCGCAAGCTTAAGCAATGCATCGAGTTTAAATGCTTTTGCTCCTCCCCTTATCGTTCCTACATTCATTCGGTTCCCGGTTTTCAACACTGCTTCAAGTAGTTTTAGGAATAAACGACTTGATCTTAGTTCTTTGCATGCCTCCTGATATATACAACGCAGGGTCGAACCATGAAAATGGTCTCTAGGTTTTGAAAAACAAGAAAAATGATTGGAATTATATATTACCTCTAGCATCAAAAAGGTCTTTCGAAGATGAGTCACTTCATCTTCAAACGTTTCTCGATACAACAATGCTTCAATTCTTGGGAAGGCGTATGGTATCGTAAGTATCGATGCAACAAATGTCTCGGCCGAACCCAAGTCACCTTTGAACCCTGTGAGTTTAGCCTCCTCTTCTTTTGTGGGTTCCATCTTTATCAATACTTCTAGTTGTTGTAAATTCAAGCCATTTCCTGATATAAAGACCAATGAGATCAGTCTTCACTACAACAAAATTGAGTTATAGGACGTCGAAAATGTTTAAATATTCTAATAGACTACTTTATATTACTTAGATTTATTGAACCAAACAGTTGTACGTCAATTCCTAAGTAAAAGCGTTGCAATAAGTTCATAAAGACGCTTTTGGACGTTTAATACGCCTTTAAAATAACGTGTTGCATTAGTTGTTTTTACACGACACTCTTTAGAAGTATCTTATGAACAAATATTTTTTGGAAGACACTTGTTTTTATAAGACATTTTTGCAAATAATGTCATAAAAGATTTATAGGATACTTTATTTCAAAAGTGTACTAAAAACATGATACGATGTCCAAAAACCATTATATAAAAATTATTGCAACGATTTTATATAAGATAGTTCTATAAACTTACATCATATAAAAATAGTCAATTAGGTAACTTTGACATTTTTGACGTCCTATAAACCCAACGTTTTGTTATACCGATTGTACTTTGTAACGGATCGTACCTTGTACAAGTGCACGACAAACTTGTTCCGTGGTGGCGTTGAGAGCTTTCAAGAGTATGGTTAGATTCTGAAGTCTTTTCGGCTCGAGAACGTGTTTACTAGGAGATGGACTTTTGCTCTTTGATTCTTCGTTAGAATTGTGTAGATTGTAACCGAAGAGGGACTCGATCATTTCTTCGTCAAACCTGTTCTTTTTGTTTCATCAATTTGATGTAGAGAAATGTAACAAGTAATTAAAAAGCTTGGAAAATAACAAAATAGCTTACTCGAATGAGCTTGACCTCAGCTTGTCCCACACCATGGAACGATCCGGTGCAGCTCGTACTTTATCCCAATGAAGCGGTTTCAACTTCGGCAACGGACTTCCGTCCTTACCCATTGGTGTCAATTGAGATGGTGGTGGTGGTGGTGGTGGGTTTCCTTTAGAAAACGGTGGCGGCGGTGGTGGTGGTGGTTTTCCTTTCGGATATGACGGTGGCATTGGTGGGAGAGGAAATGCAGTTCGGTTTGATCCTGAGGAAGAATCGGATTTCATTGGACAACTAAAGGTTTTCAATGTCTCTTTGGTGGTAGAAGATGAACGAGGTGGTGGTGGTGGCGGCGGCGGCGGCGGAGGTGGTGGTGGTGATGCAGTTGATGGTGGTGGTTCTAATATGTCACATCCGATTGAAGCATCGGAAACTCTTGGATTAGATGAATGATGTGAATTGCAAAACGAATGGAAAGACTCATCATCTGATGAATGAGCTTCCACATGTATTATTTCTTCACCAATTGGAGAACCAAAAAAAACTCGTTCATCCTCTTCTTCAAACTTCAATGATTCAACTGAGGTTACAACACCAGCAGAAGAGTCCAAAATTTCAGAATTTGATAATCCTTTTCCTCCCCTATCTTCTTCTTCTTTTTCTTCTATCAGTGTATTCATATGTGAATTCCGTGATGCAAAATTTTGATCATTAGCATCTGAATCTTGTTTATAGCTACAAACTGATGGTGGGTCTAAAACATTTTCTAATGCTTCAAGGTAAAAACGGTCTGGAACTGGATCAGAGATTACCTTTTTCACATGTTTTGGAGATGATTTCTTTTTCTTCTGTTTTCTAAACTTTCTGCACCCCAAGAACAGACCAATGAGACAGATTATAGAAGTAGCCCCACCGGCAGACACCAGAACTGCCACCAGAACCTTCTTTCTTCTTCCACCATTACCACCCTCAGATGGTGGAATCCGGCGGCCTTGATGGTGGCTCCGGCGAGAATGAGTAGGATGAGAATGTAGATGAACATGATGAACTGGAGCTGGAGCTGGAGCTGGAGAAGGCAATGGCAATAGCGATGGCGATGGCGATGGCGATGGTGACTGATGGAAATATGGTGTTTTGGCCTTCTTTAACCCAATAAAAGCTCCGAGCTTTACCTCCATTAATGGCGTAATCTGAAGGTTTGGGGCAGTCAATAATCCACAAACAATGATTGTTGTGAGGAAGACGATGATAATGGGGATGATTTTGCAGCTACAGTACTCCATTATCCTTGAAAACCCCAAAATCATTCAAGATATCATCAAGTCACCTTTCTGATGCAATTATAACAATGAATCCTGCTGGTGGGATGGTGGGGGTGTGTAGCACAGAGAGAGAAAGATAGCCTTAAATGCTACTCCAAGGAATCCCTGTGCTAGGCAGTTGAAGTTTGTAGGGGCCTTCTTTATTTCCCCTGTTCTTTGTCTTCTTACATCATCATCTTTACCATTATTAATTCCCTCTGTTACTATGTATTTGCTCTTTTGGCCATTTTATGACACAAAAAAAGATGCTGTTGTTTGACTCACATTTGCTCCAAAATTAAGATTAACAAATTAAGGGAAAAAACAATTACGGAATTTGGTCGAAATAGATATTTCTCACTTCTAAATTCGTCTTCTAGTCATTCGTGCATTCCTCTTCGGCATTTATCCTAATGTTATTACGTCTGTAAGTTTCACGTCCGTCACTTGGGATCCAGCTAAAAGACAAAAAGAATTCAAATATGATAAAAAAAGTTTATCTTTTAGCTGGATTCGTAAATGGTGGACGTTATGATATTTATGTAAATAAGAAAAAACAATGATTAGGTGACCAATTTACAACAGAGATACGCATATTTTGACCAAGTTTTTGAAAAAGAATTAAGAGAAAAAGTTGGTCCGTGGGTTTGTTGGGCATACAAGTGATTAGAGTTTTAGAAGTCAAAGACCTTAAAAACGTCTAAATCAGGTTCATGGGGATGATTACAGCTTTTTCAGACACAAATCTCCATTTCCTTTTCAATCTTTACATTAGCTTATTATGGGTCCCAATTGGTTGGTCTTACCTTTGTATATATCTTTGGTCTGGTGTGATCTTTCTTGCTCAAGATATCAATAAAAATAATTTTTACAAGGTTGGTGTTTAATTGGTTTGAACTTGGACTTCAAAGGTCAAAAGTATCTGGAGGTCCCAGGTTCAAATCCAAGAAGGAACAAAAATCTCCTTGTCGCCACGTAGATTCAAATGTGGTGACTCCGGGATACCTGCAAAGCAAAATAGGTGGTCGTCCTGGGGTTAGTCGGCTCGCTTAGCGGGTTGGATGTCCAGGTTAATCAAGAAACAAAATAATTTCAAAACAAGTCCATACTTCTTATCAATAAGTAATCGGTTATAACTTATTCAAAGTGACATTTTATATATATTGAACGGTTAAGTCTCTAAACATTATTTAAACAAAGAAATATATCATTTCTCTATGAATATATCAATAATAAAATATAACTAACCAATAAACGGAAGTGATTTTATATACCATTTCCACTATTTGTTTTCCAAATTTAAATGACAATTATAAGAAAAAACTAGTAATTATTTAATTTTTAAACTCAAATGACAATTGCAAGATTATAATGAGCACGTTGTGTTTGTCATTTGGATCTAAATAAATAAATAATAGGTAATAAAAATGATGTATTTTTTTATTTAATTGGTTAGTTATATTTTCATACTGATTTGTTGATACATGAAGAGAGAAGTGGTATATTTTTTTTAACTTTATAAATATAAGGGTTTATTCATTCAAAAAAATGTTCAGGACTCAAAATATGAATCGTTAGGTTCTATACATATCATATAAATCCATCTAGACCGACCTTTTCTTTATCAACGATTGGACTCAGAATATGAATCGTTTGGAAAACATTTTTAAATTTTAATTTTAATCATTAAACTCATGATCACTTCTTCAACTTTTAACCTATCGCCTCCATCATTGTATCCGCACTAATCGGATTGCCTTCATTACCTCCTCTCCGTCCATTCACCCCCTCGACCGTCATGGACTATCACGAACAAAACTAGATGCAGTTCGCATGCACCACTTCGATGCGAGAAAATGAATATGTGAAATCAACCATGTACGTTGGAAATGAGATAAATGTATCTTCAATCATCTCAAGTTTCTTTTCCAATATCTTTGTGGGTTTATGTTTGAATTCATGTTATTATTTTAGATTTGATTTTATGATTTTAAGGTTCACCCGATGTTTCACATATAAAAAAGTACATGTACACTGAAGCATTAACTATGTCTTTTAGTATGCACATTATTATTTTTTAAAATTAGTTACTTTCTATGTTTCACATATGAAACGTTATCAAGAATCGTTTTACAAAAGTCAGTACGTTGTTTTATAAGTAAAACAACACTGCTATAAAACGATGAATCAAAATTTGTTATTGTTTCATATGAGAACCATCAATTAGTTTGGTTTCATATGAGAAACAAAACAATCATATATTAAAAAGTTGATGTGTTGCTTCATAAGTGAAACAACACTGGTCCGAAACTAAGGTAACAAAAATAACTATTGTTTTATATGAGAATCAATAATTTGTTTGATTTAAAAACAGTTACAATGAAAATAGTTGGAGAGAGAGAGAGAGAGTGTAATATATATATATATATTGGATTTTTTTTTTCTTTCTGAATTTATAAATGATTTAGATATATTTAAATATTAGTGAGGGAATTGTGATGAAGGTAGAAGTTGACAGATTAAAGGATTGATATATGTAGGTGAAGGTTTGTTGGTCATGTAATCTAGACCATGTGCCAAAAAATCTAACCGACAGCCATGTGTGTTTATAAGCCAAAAAAATAAATAATAATATTTAATATGTAAATTGGCTTGGCTTTGCCGTTACTTGGAATCCCATGTTCAGATTGTAAATACCTCACATCGCAATTCGCACACATACACACATCTATACAATTTTATAAATTATTTTAACAAAAACTCTTATAAATCAATTTTTATATATAAAATATTGTTTATTAATATATATTATTTAAAATTCAAGATTACAAGTAATTTTACATAAGTATAACTTATTAAAACTTTATTTTTAAATTCGTGTAATTAACTGTAGATAAACATAATCAATACAAGATAAACATCCATTATAAATATAAAAAATCTAAAAATATAATTAAGATAATCATTAAGTTCTAGTATTTATAATTATTATCTTTATAAAAAATTATATTATTAAATCAAAAATAATTTACTTTGTTTAAAATTTAAATTAAATTATAATAAAAAATTGAATTAAAGAAGTTACACAAAAAAAGAACTTTTAAATAGTTAATTTGATACGAATATCGACTTATTTATTTTCAAATTTTTATGCTATCTTCAAATTTATATTTCATTCAAAAATAAAAACATTACTGTTTTCTCAAAACTACATAAACTCGTATTATATCGATAGAGACAAATAATAAAAACTAAACATTAAAATCGAGATTTATCTCGCTGCATTGCGCGAGTACCTTTCTAGTATACTTTTATGTACTTGTGTGAGGGGATCATACGCATATCATGGACTCGTCTGGGGTCACTATATTATTCTTCCATCGAAGCGTAAAAAAGTTTAGATTCGTGAAAGGTGCAATCATATTAATTTGTTGTACGTCACCGTATGTATTTTGAAACTGTAATGAGAACAAGTTTTCTTTGGTAGAGCAGGTTTGCAAGACTTTTCTTCCGCCTTAGACCCGAGATTCAAATATTTTTCAATGTCATTTTTTTTGTCAAATGTTGTCACCATTTATTTATTTATTAACCTATATTTGTTTCTTATAGTCAAAAGTTCTCACCATTGAAATTTTTACTCTATATCTATATTATATTATAAAGCATTTGACAAAAACTCTTAAAAACCACTTTTTATGCGTAAAGTACTGTTTATTAATGCATATTACTTAAAACTGAAGATTGCAAGTAGATTGTGCGTAAGTACAACTTATTAAAGCTCCATATCTGAATTCGTGTAACTAACTGCAAATAAACATAATCAAATACAGGATAAACATTTCATTTTAAATATAAAAAATCGAAAATATAATTAGGATAATCATTAAATTCTAACAGAATACTTAATTATTATCTTTATAAAATGTTATATTATTAAATAAAAAAAAATTATTTCGTTATTAAACTTAAATTAAATTATAATAAAAATAATAAATTAAAGAAATTACATAAAAATAAGAACTTTTAAATAGTTGATTTGATATTAACATTGATATATATTTTTTTCTTCAAATTTTATATTATTTTCAAATTTATATTTTATTTAAAAATAAAATCATTATTGCTTTCTTAAAAACACATAAAATCGTATTATATCATCGACAGAGACAAATAATAAAATAGAACATTAAAATCGAGTTGTGTCTCGCTGTATTGCGTGAGTACTCTTCTACTTTATTTTTTATAGTTAAATTATGCTATCATTTGAAAAAAATTCTGGATCCATCCTAACGCACGCATACGCATCCCCATGTGGTTGAGTTTAAGAATTAGATCTTAATTGAAGGGTCTGGGGATAGAAATACATATAAGTAATTGATATATTTATGATTTTTAACTTATGTCATGTTATGCCTAGGTTTAGGTTTAGGTTTAAGTTGGACGGAAATGAGCAGAAAAGGGATAAATTGTTTAATTTACGTAAGATGTTATACCAATAATGTAATTTATGGTAAAATTAACTCTAATTTTATCTTATTTAAAACAAATATCGAAGAACGAAGAGAAAATTTATTTGATGGAATGATTTTTAGGGATTTAGATTTCGTGAAAAGAATTGGATTTGAAAGGATGTGGATTTGGAATAATTTGCAATCTCTGCTGTGTTTGGTTTGTAGGATGTGGAATGGAATTGAACGGTATTTTGTATAAATAATTTATATAAAAAAATTATAAATAACTGTAGAGATAATAAAATTTTCTTTTTATTAATTTATTATTGTTGATCCTCTCTCTCAGTGATTTGATGATAATCCATTTTCACTTATACGAAGTATTTTTTTGTTTCTGTCTTTTCAGTTCCAGCGATCTTCACTGAACCTGTTTAGTGATCGCTGGAGAACTTGTATTGTAATTCAATCAACGACAGCGATACTTCAAGAAGACAACACTCACACCAAAGAACCTTCAGCTAACGTCGAAGACTACAACTGAAGATTAGAGACTAGCGAGTACGTGATCTGAAGCGGTACTCAGTGATTACAAGCTTGTCTACACA